TGATGAGTGTGCGTCCCGGAGGCCTAATTTAGTCCTCTTTCCCTTCCCACCTTTTATATTATAAGGAAAGGATGGGAAGTAGAAGTGGACTTTCCGGATGAGAGGATGCGTGGAAAGGGAAGATATTTTCTTTCTGTGCATCCTCTCCTCCGTCGATTAAAGGTAGGCAACGCATATACAATTGCGTATGTCTATGGGCAACGGTCACTTCGCTATATCAGCAATTTCAGGTGGCCGCTCGCTCGTTTGGCCACCTTATGATATAAAAAAAATATTGTTATTTTTTATTCTGACAACCATAATAACAGGGTTGACGATATACATTTTATACAGTCTTTGGTTTCAAAAACCCATGGTAAACGAATTAATATTCCAAGCTAACTATAAAATAAAAACTATAATTATATATTATTCTACCGTTTTATTAATTTTAATTTGAAAATAGAACTATACATTTTTAAAAATAAAATGTTAGTCTTGCTATCGATGGCCAGTTTTAAAGCTTTCTATTTTAAGAAAGAAACATAGATAATATTTAATTATATCGAATTAATGTTTGTGTAGTACTATAGTCTTACAATATATTAGTGGTTGTGCGAGATTAATTCAAAATGAATGATTCGACTCCTGTGAATACAAACAGGACGTAAACGGTAATCCTTTATTAAAGCAATGTGTCCACTCTCAGCTATAATATACATTTAATGGTAAATGCTAATAAAATTAATTTAAAATACTATATTTTATTTTTTAGTATTTATAAACATAACCTATTTCAAATTAAAATTCAATAATGTCATATTAAATTAAAGTCAAATATTAACACGAGAGTTTTTTTTAAATATTGTTTTAGTGTTGTGTTTAATTTTGAGTTGTACAGTACTTAATTGTTGCAAGTAAATGAAGCACACTTTGTCTGCACGTTACAATTTATTACGTACTAGCTGTCGCCCGCGACTCCGTCCGCGTATATATTATATATAAAAAAACTTAATTAGTGTAGCCCACCCATCCATCCATTCACATGACATCCATCTAAACATTCGCATTTATATTATAATATTAGTAAGTTAAATAAAAAGCAGAACTTCAAGGCATATATTAAAAAAAAAAGAATATCCTATGTCCGTCTCCTGGCTCTAAGCTACCTCCTCACAAATTTTCAGCCATATCGGTAAAGCCGTTCTTGAGTTATAAATAGTGTAACTAACACGACTTTCTTTTATATATATAGATTATAGCATTGTGATGTGCCCAAGCATTACAAAGACTTTAGCTACAGGATGTTTTAATCTTGCAAATCACTGAATCAACATCGTCATTCCTTGAAAGAGGATTTGGAATACGATTGTTTCTCTGAACTTCTGTTTGTTAACGATCCGATGGATTAAATGACTGGTGGTTATTGACCTTGGAAACAAATATGATTGCAGGTTTTTACATATTAACTTTTGTTTCTCGATTGCTTTCTGTGTGTCAATCAATTAGTGAATATAACACATAGTTTTTTTTAAGTTTAAATTTAATAAATCTAAATCAATGGACACCTCTTATTATAATAAATGACTAAACCGTAGGTTTCTTAGACCAAAATCCCCGTTTAAACATATTGTAAACATATGTTTCAAGCGGGGATTTTGGTTTCAGTAACACACGGTAAGAAAAACAGGTTAATCTATACTTTGGCAATGTTAGTGGAATAGAATTCGGCCACTTCATTATCATCATCATCAGCTCACCAAACGTCTTACAATAAGTTAGAAGTAACTAGGCGATTAGTCAACTAAGCTGGTCCAGTGCGGGTTGGTTGAATTCACTCATATCTTTGAATTTTGTTCTCAGATATGTGCAGGTTGCATCTCGATGTTTTCCTTCATCATAAGAACATCGACTTTAGCATAATCTTTGTATATTAAATCAATAACAATGGTTGGTCTATTTTAGTTCTAAGTTATTGCAAGTTTTGTAAAGGAAATTGAGTAAAGCAAATTATAATAAATTTTGTGATTTGTTTACTATTTGAACCAGCAACAATGTTTATATCCGTATTCTTGCGGCAGCCGGCACGTCCCGACTCCAAACATTCAACTACAACGAATTGTGTTTCAAAACAATACGCAACGTTAATTTTGGTGAGATTTAATATTGTACAATTACTAGCTATCGCCTAGGACTCCGTATACACGGAATTAGAAAGAAAGCGTCAATAGCCTAATGGTTAATGATACGGATTTCCGACCACGAGGTCGGGGGTTCGAATCCCGCCATTCGACTATTGTCGTAAACCTAGCACAAGCATACAGCTTAGTTGGAATGGTAAAAGAAATAGTAAGTTTACAAAAAATCTGCTAATATTTTTATATAAAAAATATTAGAACAGATAGTGGCCGATTTCCAGATCAACTGAATATGCTTATAAAATTTCATAAAAACCCGTAAAGCCGATTAGGAGGAGAATGGTAACTAACATTGTGACACGAAAATTTTCTATATTAAATTTATGTTTGTGGTCGCTAGATATGTACTAAGTTCATCAGATTTTGAGCAATCTCAAATATAATTTAGTAAAAAATTCTGAAAATGAATTGTATTTGAAAATAGTGCAGACGGAGACATGGGCAAAAGCTAGTTTCCTTTAAAAATGTTAAGGTAATATTTTCCGGGATATCTTCTAGCTCATAAAAGCGCGTGTAAAATGTATGCTAATATTATAAATTAACATAGTATCGATTTCGATTCCACGCGTTTGTCGGCTGCATGAATAAAATCCAATATGAATTCTTTTCGTCATGAATACCGTCACACGAGTAGACGCGAACTTATTTGTTATAATCGATTTTATATATGTAACTGTTCAAATCGATTATATTTATGTAAACAATATTCGTTACTCGTAGGACGCCTATATTGCTTTTTTAAATCGTACTATTAGTTTAGTTACCCTGTATTTTATTTGTACACTAATAGTTTAATCATTCTGTATTAATTTAGTCATCCTGTATTTTATTTGTACACTAATAGTTTAATCATTTTGTATTTATTTAGTCACTCTGTATTTTATTTGCATACTAATAGTTTAATCATCATGTATTTTTTTAATAATATACTCTTTTAGTTATTTAGTAGTTAAGTATTTTTAGCTCTTGATTTTATATAGTTTTTTTTAAGCAGAAGTGTAAATATTATTTTTATGTGTATCTCAGCAGTGGAAACTCGCGTTTGATTTTAAATATTAAGGTCATACGTCATATTGAATAAAATTGGAGCAGCACATGCCTTGGCGCGTCACTAACGTTCAGGTAAGAGGGTCAACGCAGAATGTACACATTTACAAGTAATTAATCAATATCTCATTACGATGTGTTAATCCATTTTCAATATTCATAATTTACGTAAAGATTACTATGATTTGGAGACAAAGAAAAAGGGTATCAATTTAGAAAAGAGATTCTTATAGTTTTCGCGTTTTTTTTAATATAGTGTATGGATGTACTCCCTTTTATTTTGTTTTTTATTTTTTTACTTTTGTACACGTGGACTCCAAGAGGTCCTTAACCATTTTGGTTATTATTATTTTTTTATATCATAAAGTGGCAAACGAGCGAGCGGCCACCTGAAATTGCTGATATAGCGAAGTGACCGATGCCCATAGACATACGCAATTGCATATGCGTTGCCTACCTTTAATCGACGGAGGAGAGGATGCACAGAAAGAAAATATTTTCCCTTCCCATGCATCCTCTCATCTGGAAAGTCCACTTCCACTTCCCATCCTTTCCTTATAAGAAAAAGGGTAAGAAGGAAAAGAGGACTAAATTAGGCCTCCGGGACGCACACTCATCAGACGAAACGCGGAATTGCTTCCACTTGGCGCCTGTCTTCTTTGTGGTCGTGGTATTTCACCGGGCGAGCCAGGCTAATTCATGCGAAGATGTTAAAGTGGGCTCTACCACTGTTAAAAATATTTATCTTGTACTATATTAAGATTGTATAAAACAGATAAAACTAAGAAAGCACATCTTTAAGTAAGTTATAAAAATAACTGTGCAATCTTTATGAAACGTCTAGGTACTTTGTAAATGTAACACAAAACAATGTACGTCAATTGATTGGTCAGAATAGAGAAATAGGACCTATAAAGTTAAATTGAATTTCTGTGTGTAAACAATTTGTAAAACGAAAGTTTGTTTGTCATATTGGTAGCAAGTTAATCGGTGTATTGCATGACACAGTGATGAGGCTTCTCGGTCAGGTTACGAAGGGTTTAGTGTAATAGGTATTATTGATTACGTATTGCCGATAAACGATGTAATGCTACGACTCGTGCCCTCGGCTCTATTGACTTGGAACGGTCATAGTTCACTAAGGGAATCCACGATTAAATGGTTAGTTTATAGGTTGATTTACCACGATCTAAATCTCCGTTTAAAAGATACTAGCTATCGCCCGCGATTACGCGCGGAATCAAAAGAATATAGTTAGAAGCCTATGTTTTTTACTAGACTGTGTCCTATGTGTATGCCATATTTAATCAGAATCCGTTCATCTGAATACAAGAATACCTACAAACAAACATCCATCTACCTAACATTCGCATTTAAGTTATAAGAAGTATTAATTCATATAAGTTGTTATTAATTTCATATAAGTACAACTATTAGTTATCTTTCTTCCAACGCGACAACATTCCAAATAAGTGTTATTTAAAATAAATTATACTCACACAATGACGTGATTTATCTAACTAAATTCAAATTAATTAAACACTTATATACCTTTAGTACATATGTAATTCGCACGCATTCGCAATTACGGATTAAATTTTTTTTATGAAACAATACGAGTATATAAGCGGCATTATTATAAGTATTAAAGTTCATTGTTTTTTTTTTAAGAATTACGTTAATATTTTAATAAAGCTACATTTTGACTACGAATATATTTTTTTTGTATAAATTGGAAGTAATATAAATAAGAAATATTTTTATAAAACTTCTTACCCCATTTTTCGTATCCGACGCAGGAATGATGAAACAACTGAACACCACAAAACCACCTCCGTCAAAATTCAACTTGAAATAGTCCACATTTATGAAAACATCAACTCTTATAAAGACGTATTTGAAATTCAAACGAACATCATGAAAAATTGGATCGTATCGGTAAACAATAAAATTATGCACACCACCTAGCAAGTGAATGGTGACAATATTTTACAGAACAACACCATATTTATCAAATTTAAAAATAAAACTTGACATTTTAACTTCATGCTTCGAAAAAATTAAATAAAATTGAATAAGATTTTTTTAACCACATTATTATTACTGAAAATATTCTCCAAAAACATCATCACTATAAAATATGCGTAAAAACGACAAATATTTCGTCAGTAATTCGGGTATAAAGGTGGGGTCACACTGTAGTGGATCGATACGGAAGCGCGAGGGTTTTGGGCTGCAGGGCAATGTGCGTGTCGCACGCGCCGGCCGCCGACTGCGATGCGTGTGCACCGTGCACTAGCGAGTAGCATCGCTATCAAATAAACAAAAAGTGCATAAGGGGTGCTCAATCTTAGGCGCTTTACAATATTAACGTATATTATATTAATAATTTTAGTTTTAAATGTCAACGTAGATTTTTATTAAATTATTTTTAATAGCAATAAATTTCAGTTACCGTTTATTAGAAGTTCAAAAGGTAAACATTATTGAAATTTAATTTTTAACTTTTATAAAAGTAATCTATAATTGATTGGTTAAAACTTTTATTATTAATTTAATTAAGCTTTGAATACTAATATAATATTTTATGAACTGTATATACATTAGTCTGTATTTATCGATTAATTAATTTTCTCGAGGTTAAGAATGTTTAGATTACTAAAAAAGACCATTTTATAGAAGACTAGTTATTGTACGGACTAAAGTTAGCAGTTTTTAAATACTTAATTTGAAAACAAGTACTAAAGTTACCAATGCGTTATCCAACTAAGAACTTTTAAAATACAAACCTAGAGAATCTTTGAGACTATTTTCTTAATTTAAATATCATATTAAAGTATAATGTAAAAATTGATTCCATTAAATACTTATACTATTATAATTTATTGGCGCAGGATGAATAAAATTTTATTACATCTGATAATTTTCGCGCGGCCGCCTCAGTCGCGGAAGTGATTCCAAGCTTTTAATTTCTTTTATTGTTGACGCGATTTCTTCAAAGGTGATTCATAGTTTGATTACATTGTTTTATCAAGAATTTATCGTTTTCCAAAACAATCATGCGTTTAATGCTCTTTAAAGCAGAAACAATGAAATCTTTACTTATTTTTACTTATATGATACTTTGTATTCAAGTAACAGCCCTAACAACTTAACGTTATCACTAAGCTATCGTTCCTTTAAAGTACTATTTAATTAGTCGAGCCCCTAGATGAAATAAAAAGAAATGCTCCGAGCACGCGCAGAATGTAAAGCGCGCATTTGCTTTAAATATAACCCATGACAATGGCCAGTCATTCAACGGCTTAAACTAAGGAGACAAATCACGCCAGATTATATTTATTACGATCTAATTTTAAACTAATATGAAAATCTAATCTAATCTAATCTAATTTTATTGTTCCAGATTAGATTAACTTTTTTTAAACTAATCTCAAACTTGACATTTAAATTTGGAAAGCTTAATATAGAAATACAGATTGACGCACAAACAATAAATTTTTGGCATTCTAACCGTGGGTTCCTGAGACAAAAATCTAACTTTAAAACATCTTGATATCTCTGTTTTGTTAATGACAGTGATAATGATATGTTTTATATAGAAATATTGGTCTCAGAAACCAACGGTATGTTTCTTATTCGCGTTATTAAAACATTTCTAGCTATTAATATCACGAAGTTTCACACTTAAAAATAGAGAAAAAAAAATATTTTGTTGATCATGGAATTTCATTTGCTTTTTTTTAATGCCATCCCCTGCTCATTTATAAAGACTTTGGTTCGCTGGACCAATGTCGGGATCATAAGCCGACATTTCTGGTGCTTTACTAGAAGCTTAGTCTTTGTCAGTTTTATACCAGCACTTACGTTCCATGGTTTCTATTATCTGTGCGTGTTAAATCGATTTGAATGTTTCATGTACACTTAATAACTTATACTTTGACTTTCTTGTTTTTATTGTAATAGTTAAGATTAATAATTTTTTTAAATAGAACTTCATTATTATTCTCCAATGGGTATATAAGGAACCTAATTGGAAAGTATATAGTATTTTGTCTCGCCATAAGTATCTTTATTTGGAGGAATTTTACCTTACAAATGTTAAGATTGAAAAAGCTTGGAAGCTTTCATGTTTTGCCGATAGCTAATAAAATGTAAGTTCATCCATCACCTTCACACCAACAGACGCCTGCAAAACGAAAACAAAACACACCCTTCAACTCAAAATTCATTTACCTCAAACGTAGACAGTTACAGCCATCTTCAGAGAACCGATTAATTTATTATTTTAAAGCATCCCTTTTCGCGCATCCAATTTAAAATTTGACATCTTAAACAGTCTTAAATTACACATGAAATTATTTCATTAGGGCTGAAGCACCCGTGGGGCTAGCCTTCTTGTTATCTTGACGAAGTTTTTCGGTACCCAAAGATATAATCAACGCGTCAGTGTGGACACGCCCTAAGCGCGCCGCGTTAATAGGCAGATCCCGATATCGGCTCATTCTGTAAATCGTACAAAATTATTTTTCGATCTCTAACGTTAGCTGGCAATGTATTTTGAACTTTATACGTTGGTCATAAATGTCATTTTTAATTTAAATGGGTACTCATTCAAATGCGGCGCCAGTATGTATGATTTTGCTTAGGTTTTGTTTGTATGGTGCATTTGAATTGTTAACGATTAATGCGAGTGTTATGGTGACCGGTAATTTCTCATTTACTGCATCAGAAGAGCATTTTAATTGCGTGTTTTAATGTTTCGTTTATGTAAAGTTGAAATAACACAGCACGTGCTATACGTTTTATGATGCTTCAGGAATTAATTTGCGTTTGATATACAATTAGAATTGATACGATTTTATTTTCGCTTTCAATGGATTCATGACTTTTTTACTTTTGAAAAGATTAGTTTTGCAGTACTCCAATAAACATTATTCGGGCTTAATTATGCTTAACTAGCTGTAGCCCAGGACGCCGTCCGCGCAGTATTAAAAACAAACTGAATTAATAGCCTATGTGTTCTTCTAGACTATGCCCTATAGGCATGCAAAATTTCATCGGGATCATTTCAACCGTATTGGAGATACTCTCAAACAAACATCCATCCATCTAGTATTCGTATTTATAATATTAGTAATATCAACTGAATAGCAAAATGATATTACTGGCGCGATCTCCTTTACTTAAAAATTCTATTTTATTTGACCAAAAATAAAAAGGGACCGCGATACAAAATCTTATCCATATAAAATTTTCGATAGAATCGTTTAACAGAACATAAACGGTGGAGCCGGTATCGGTCAGCAATCTTTATATAGAGCAGTGAGGGAGCTACAAGCGAGCTACCGCCGCGCCGCGCCGCGCACCGAGATCCGAGTAATTGATAGGGATAATCGATTTTCATCACTGCGCTACCACAATAAAAGTGTGAGCGTTTATATGTGAAACCGTCAAAGAGTAAGCAACTAAAAGTTAGCAGTTGTCTCTAGTTGTTTGGACGTCAAGATAAAGTCATGTGTACCAACAACGAATAGTTTCGTAGTTAAAAACTGTGCGTTCGTAAAGGGATACAAATAAAACATAAACATGTAACACACTCTTCGGGAAAATCATACCTTATTTTTTATATAAGAGTAGGGGTTCGTCGACGCCCATGGATATCTGCAAGAGCTGTATTCTCAGAGATTTTTTTGATGTTTCCATCTCAATGTAAAAAAAGGCTGTACGAATATTTATACAATTACAGTCATTGATTGCATTATAATAAAATGAAAGGAAGTCTTACACTGGTTCAAAGAAAAATAACAGAGATGAGTCGATTATTATTACTCTTCACGGGGAAACTGTTCATTTCACACGGGATAATCTATTCGGTCCTCTAAGACAACTTAAAAAAATTGGAATGTTTTGTCCAGTCTGCGCCTCTTACTGTCGCATACTCTATGACCGGGTTGGCACGTTCGTGCGTGATTCTTTACCCCCGATGCGCTAGCGCCGTTCAATTTGCAGCTTTTGTTCGATGCCGCTATTGTCCAATTTAAGTTGATATGTTACAACAATTATAATCGCTCTTAACTGATTAATAATAAGGCCTTGTATCGAGTTTATAACAAGAAATGGATAGTGGTTCCTTGGAAGTTAAAATAACTAGTTGCGCCGAGATTGCCTTTCTTTTGACGTGTGTGTGTGAATGCAATTGCGAGTTTAGTTTAGCTGTGTTTCATTAGGAACGATGTTCTTAGTCCTTGTGCTAAACATGAACGAATATGTTTATATTAGCTGTCCCCCGCTACTTCATTCACGCGGAATAATAATAAAAAAAACCTTGATAAGTAGTGTTAGGAAGAAAACCCGATACTGTGCCGGTGTATCAGCGCAACACTAGCCTTATTAAAATATCAACGTTTATGTCCCCTCACTAATCAATCTGACACTTGACTTGGTAACGAAAGCGCGCATTTCGCTCTAAATGATTTCAACAAATGATGTCTAAAAGTAGCCAATGTGTTCTTCCCTCCGTCAAGATACGATGAGCCGTTCCCGAGATAGCTTAACAAACATCTATAATATTAGTAAGGTTGATTTTTTTTACATCCCTAAATAGTTGTATTCATCATCATCAGCTCACTATACGTCAACTAAGTTAAAGGTGAAGAGGCCATAGTCAACCACGCTGGCCAAGTGCGTGTTAGTTGAGGTCACACATATCTATGAATTTCTTCTCAGATATGTGCAGGTTACATCACGATGTTTTCTTTCACCGTAAGAACGTAAGATAAATGTACATATGTAAATCAAAAATCGAAACACACATTGATACATGGCGGGGATTCGAACCCAGGACCTGCAGATTGTAAGTCAAGTGCTTGACCCCTGAGCCGACGCTCTAATAGTTGTATTAGCTTCATGTAAATAAATATGTAATGTAGTCCTTTACTCAAAAGAGTAATTTAGCGCAAAAATTGCGCTAATGTAGTCAACATTTCTTACTATGGTATACTAAAATAAGATTGCACCGATCTTGTATTAAAAGTACAGATACCAAATTATAATACAGACTACAATTAGGTGAATGCATATAACTTATAAAGGATGTTTTAAAATACATCTTTATTAATGTAAAATATAGGCGTAAAGTTAAAATATTTTTAAGGAAGTAATTTCATGCAAAACACTTATTACTTTTTATAAAACTCTCGCGTACAAGCAATTTGTGTTAAAATTCGAGCGTTTAAGGAATTTTTATGCGTAACGTTTTAAAGAGAC